GCAGCGTATCACAAGGAGGAAGTGGGCGAGAGAGCACGGCTGGTTTTACGTCTCAAAACATTTTATCTATTTAATGAAAAAAGTATAAATATATATATATATATATATATATATATATATATATATATATATATATATATATATATATATATATACATATATATATATTGTGATTTCAAGCAGCGTCGATGATCCCCCTTTGCTGAATTGGCGAGCGAAATCACAGAGCGGAATCTCACGTCAAATCGTTGCACACACATAATGCAAACTCATAATAATGTACCTCAACACTGCACGCAACCTACGATCAAAGAGAAGGGGAGAGGAAACAATCGCCTACAGCCCGCAAGGGGCCAGAGGGCCAGTCACATACATACATGACGAGGAGGCAAGCAGCACCCAAGGGGCAGCAGGGGCTGAAGGGGCAGTAGGGGCAGCAGAAGCGGCAGCAGAAGCAGCAGTAGGAGCAGCAGCAGGAGCAGAGCACGTACCTGGCGCGACGAGCGCACGTGAAGCGGACGACCGCCATGAGGACGTGCCGATGCGCGCCGAGAGCGAGCGTGCAGGAGAGCGGCGCGGGAGCTCCTCCAAGGAAGCTCTCACCTCCAGGCTCAGGAGGGAGGAAATGTTGACTGCAGGATGGGAATCGACCAAGGGGGTCAGCGTGCGCCCCGGCAATCGGCCCACGATCGATGGCACGGCTGACTGCAGTGCCCGCTCGCCCCGGCCGTCGCGTGCTCCTCGGGCCTGCAGAGGCCCTCAGCCGCTCATTACGGCGCTGCCCGCACCCGCACGTCGCACATGACAACGACACATTCGCCGCAAGATGGAGTGCCGCGATAAATCTAGGCCTACCAAGTCCCCCTCCGCCGCCCCGCCCCGGAAGCGCTCCCGGCAAGCAAGCACGCAGCCGCGCAGGCGCCGCGGGACGCCTTCTGCCCAGCCGCGGACGCGCCCCCTCCCGCGCCTCCCGCCCACGCTCGAAACACTCCAAGGGTATGAATGACCCACGGCCAACGAAAAGGCTCACGAAGGCTCCGGCAGAGAAACGGGACCTCGAAGGCAGCCCACGAGGCGAAGGAGACGCGCGTCGTGGGGCGCGGGCTGGCCTCGCGTCCCGACTGCCCTCGTGGGTCGCGCGGTGACCTACGTCTCAATCCGGCTCGCGGGGGCACGCGCCGCCTACCGCCCGCCCCCCGACCTACGCTCTTGCAAGTTTACCTGGATATTTCCTTTCTCTTTCTCCTTTCTTCTTTTTGCTCGCGCTTTTTAAAACATTTTTTCTCCGTTGCCTGCACGAACGTTCCGCACGGACGTATACATGTATAGATTGTCTTGGAGAAACGCCTTTTGCTGAAGAATTCCTTCTATTATATCTCGCTGGACATGCTTCCCCGAAAACACTAATGGCGCTGCTGGCACGTCTATAATGCGAACGACCGTATTATCTTCCTTTCTCTCTATATCTCTCTCTTTATCTCTTCTCAACCTTTCACTTCCCTATCCCAGGTGCTTCCTTTCCATTCCCTCCACGTTTTATCCTTTTCCTTCCTTCCTCCTCCTCCTCCACGTATCCTTTATCTCCTATCTGTCCTTATCGCCAGCGCTCTCTCCCGAGGACATGATGGTCCCCTCACTCGGCCGGCGACACTGCGGAATACCTTCGCTTATAAACCCCTCATTTTCCCCCTTCTTGTGATAGCGTGTCGAGGTAGCTCGGGTGTTACGTAAGAAAGCTGCTGGGAGGGGGGAGGGGAGGGGAGAAGGGGAGTGGGAGG